TGCAACCGCCTCCCCAGACTAGAAATGCAGTTCTTTATGCATGCATATATATATATATATATAGATATATATATATATAGTTTAGTGTATAGATAGCCTTACGTGTTGGTGCTGCGGTTGTCTCCATTGCTACTGCTTCTTTAATAGAGGCCCACTCAGCAGATTCGCTTCGCTAGTTGTATCTATGTGTGAAGCTAGCTGCAGCTAGCTGTAACTAGCTGTAACTAGCTAGCTAGCTGCAGCTAGCTACAGCTAGCTGTAACTAGCTGCAGCTAGCTAGCTGGTGTCTGAGGTATTGTGTGTCTCCTGTTGCGATGCTGCTGCTGCTGCTGCTGCTGCTGAGCAGCCAGTGATGGCTGAGTGGTGTTTTTGCAGTTTGTTTGATATTTGCATGCACGGAGAAAGAAAGCCCCAAAAGAAGTTTGAAGTTGTTTATATAAATAGAATAAAATAATATCATTGTTTGTTTGTTTGTTTGTTTGTTTGTTTATATGTTTGTTTATATGCAGGGATTTTGTACGGGCAGACAGAAGGGGGTCTCTCTAGGCAGCTGCAGGTGTCTCTTAAAGACGCTAGGAGACTAATAAACTGTTTCTTTAATGAATATAAAAATGTTCAGAGCCTTATGCTTACACACACCACGTTTGCGCATGCAACGGGGACAATAGAAACTCTTGTAGGCCGCAGCAGACGCCTTCAGAGTATAGATATTGCTGCTGAGAACCTACAGCTGCAGCCTCATCTTGCTGCGCTGCTTCACCGCATAGGAGCTCTTAAGGCACCTCTCCGGCAGCAGCAGCTGCAGCAGCAGCAGCAGAATGGCTCCACAAGCAGCAGCAGCAGCAACAACAACAACAGCAACAGCGCGAGAGGCCGCTACAGGAGACAGGCAATGAATACGCCCATTCAGGGTCTAGCAGCAGATATTATGAAGTATGTAACAGGAAGGGTGGAGCAGCTGCTGCAGCAGCAGCAGCAGCGGGCTCTTCGCATGCAAGAACTGGTGCATATAGGTGCAGCAGCAGCAGCAGAGGGAGAGCCTTGTTGGAGACAGGATTTGCTGCTAAGGAGACCCCTGAGGGCCCAGGTGGTGCTGCAGATTCATGATGAGTTGCTGCTAGAAGTGTATGAAGACGATGTCCCCTTAGTCTTAGAGTTAGTGCTGCCTCTAATGCAAAGGGCGTGGGGTCTGCTGCTGGTGGAGACAGATTGTCTAGATCGATATGCTGCTCTGTTCCAGCTGCAGCAGCGGCTGCAGCAGCGGCTGCAGCAGCAACGGCTCGGGGACCCTCACTACTGCAGCAGCGCAGCAGAGGAGACAGTACTTCGCTGCTCTGCCCTTGAGGCTGCAGGCTTTACCTCAACAGAGCAGCAGCTGCAGCACTGGTTTAAGCTGCCTCCTCAATATGAATGGTTGCGTCCTTTGCTGCAGCGCAAGCTGCCTACTAACGCTAAGGTTGGAAGAGATTGGGGCTCCTGCTGAAGCAACGAAAAAGCTGCTGCTGTCCCCTCAGCAGCAGCTACCTGCAGCTAGCTATACCTACCTACAGCTAGCTCGAGCTGGGTGTAGCTAGCTAGCTGCAGGCAGCTCCACCTAGCTGGAGTTGGTTCTACCTATCCCCAACTAGCTCTAGCTAGCTCTAGCTAGCTCCAGCTAGCTCTAGCTAGCTCCAGCTAGCTCTAGCTAGCTTTAGCTAGCTCCATCTGGCCCTAGCTAGCTCCAGCTAACTAGAGCTAGCTGGGGCTATTTCTCCATCCCCCTAACTAGCTCTGGCTAGTTCTAGCTAGCTCTAGCTAGCTGCAGCTAGCTACAGCTAGCTCTAGGTACAGCGTGGAGTGGCATATGTCTCCTCTTGAGCTGCTTCCGAGGCAGCAAAGGAGACAGACAGCAGCAGCTAGTCGTGAGGAGGAGCAGCAGGCGAGGCGGATGATACTTCTGTTGCCGCAGCTTCTTCTGCTGCTGCTGCTGCTATTGCTGCTGCTGCTGTATTGGATTTTTGTCTGTCTCCGTTTAGAGAGGCGCCGCCTTGCTGCAGTTAGAGGAGCAGCAATATCCTGCTGCTGCAGCGCAACAGGTTGGGGGGCCCCCCACAGAGTTTGAATAACTTTTCGTTTCTTATACCAGACATTTTATGAAAGGAGACAAACTGCAGCAAACTGCAATCTGCTGCTGTCCCCACCTACCTGCCTGTACACTGGATGAAGCTCCGAGCGACGGGGTGTCTCTGCACTGCTGATGGGTCTCCTCGCAATACAATATATATAATATATAATGTATATGTTATTATATTTAATATATACATATATATATATAAGTATACAGGTGTTTATGTATATATTTATGTATATATCCAGATATGGATATATATATAGTATATATATATGTATATACATATATATATATATGTAGGTAGATATATAAAGACATATAAACAAATGAAAATATATATTACATAATTGCAGTATGTAGTCAGAGAGTAACAGACAGATAATTCGTCTACTTGGTAAATTCTTTAAGTCTGTCTTGATCTTTTTACAGTTTGCATTTAAGCTGAGGAGAAGAGACAGTGCATGCAAAGGAGACCCTTCATGAAGCCCCCAAGTGTCTCTCTTATTAGCACAAGTTTAATTCTCTGTTAGGTCCTGGAGGCCCCAGAGGGAGAGGGAGTATATATATATATATATATTGTTGTCTTTAGAAAGAGTTTAAAAGGATTACCCCTCTGTCTCCTTTTGTCTGGTGCAGCAGCAGCAATAAACAAAAGGAAGCTGTCGATACACCTCATTATATATTAGAAGCTACAGATAGAGGATTTGTTTATGATGCACAAACTGCAGTTGTCATCTCTATTAGATTTAATATAAGTACATTAAGATTATGATTAAGGGTTAAGGGTTTAGGGTTTAGGGTTTAGTGTTTAGGGTTTAGGGTTTAGGGTTTTGGTGGCTATTAGAAGGCGGAAAGAGAGACACTTGGTTTGTTTGAAGGGGACAGAGCAGGCTATTAAAAAGAGCATTTAAAGCGACTAATTGTTTATAATGAATAAAATAAACAAATAAATAAACTGTTATTTTCAGCAAAAGCTAACAGATGAGGAGTAGCGCTGCTGTACTGGAGGCCTCCTTTAGGGTCTCCTTAGTGCTGGCTGAGGCCCTGTTGCTGCTGCTGAGCCCTTGTTCTTGCTTCTATATGCTCTTTCTTACTTTCTCTTTCTGTTTATCTTCTATTTATTGCATTATTTACACTTAAATAGTCTTTACTCTTCCTTATAACTCGCTCCTGAAACAGTCAGATACCCTTGGGTCCACTGGCTGCTGCTGAAGGAGACCAATGGTCTGTTGAATGTCTCCATTGGTGTCCCTTTGCATATTCTAGACATCATCTTAGCAATTAAAAGGGTTTATTTGTATTTATTAGAGCTATTTATTTCGGGTGTATGTGCAGCAGGCGGGGATTGAGTTAGATACAGAGTAAAACCTCTTTGTAAGAGGCTCTGCCTCAGCCTATGCTGAGAGAAGCTGCTTAAACAATAACAATAACTTTTTTGTATGTTTATTTTATACAATTGCTTTACTTGTAGCAGCAGCAGAGCTCTTGCTGCTGCTAAAAAGTCATAAGGATGCACCCCAAAAGAAGAGGGCCCTTAAAAGACCCTTTAAATTCCTTTAACTTTGAAGTTGCTGCTACACTGAGCTGTGTAAACAGCCCCAAAGGTCTGCTGCATGCGCACGCAGCGCTTCGTAAAGGAAGGGCCCCTCTGTCTCCTCCTCATAGACCTAAAAGAAATGCTGCTGCGCTGGAATCTGCTGCTGGCGCTGCTGCTGCTGAAACCATCGATACACCCCGACGCGGCTTACAGGTGAGAGGCCTGTCTTTGTCTTTGTGTTTTCTCTTTTAACGCCCCTTAAACCTCCTTAGTAGACCCGAGTTGCTGCTGCTGCTGCTGCTGCTGCTGCTGCTACTCTTCTCTTAGCCGCGGTGTGTACCTCTGTCCTTGTGCTGCTTCTCTACCTCAGAAAACAGCAGAGCGAAGCCCCAAGAGCATCTCAACAGCAGCAGCAGCCAAAGCAGCAGCAACAACAACAGCGGCAGCAGCAGCAGCAAACGCTTGCTGCGCCCTCAGGCAGCAAGAACATACAAACAAAAGGAGACGCAGCTCCCGACTTGCATGCATGATAACAGCAGCAGAGCCTAATGGCTTCAACAACAATACAAGTGTCTCTAAAGGAGAATTGTCTCTAAAGAGCAGCAGCACCAGGGCTGAAGAGGGGCCCCTCAAGGGGCCCCTCAAAGGGCCCCCTTTGAATAAAGAAGAAGATAAAGCATTGAGGTGGGGCCCCCAGGGCCCCTCGGAGCCCGTTGGTGTTGTTGAGTGTCGCCAAGCCCTAAAGAAAGAAGCTGATGCTGAGGAGACACCTCAACATTGTGTAGCTGTTGCTAAGATAAGAGAAGAGACAGACAGAAGGGGGCATAATAGGAGATCAATTCGTTGTACCAATCGCTTTAAAGAGTATTTGAATGTAAAGTTAAATAAAGAAAGGAGACAGAGACAATATAAGGGGACAGCTATCTTAAGCAGCAGAAACGAAGAGCTTATCTTGCTGCCCTACGAAAATAAACAAAACAACAGAGCAGCAGCAACAGAGATGTCTCCTTCTTGCAGCAGTAATGCACACAGAAAGAGACTATTAACATCTGTCAGCCCCTCGCATAAGGAGACACCATCAAGTGTCTCCTCAGCGCCTTATCAAAGAAGCAAACCCTTACAAACCCCAAACAAAAGGAGACAGTTTGTAGCATTAAATGAAAGGACTCCTGCTGCAGCAAGTGTATTGGCTGCAGCAGCAGGCCCTAAGCTGATACGTCGGAAGATCCGGCCAGCAGCGGCAGCTCGAGCAGCAGCAGCAGCAGCAGCAGCAAGCAGAGCAGCAGCCAGAGCAGCAGCCAAAGCAGCAGCTGCTGCAGCTACAGGTATGTCTGTCTCTGCAGCTTCAGCTGCTTCATTTGTTGTTACTTCGAAGACACCCCCAACAGAGACAGAGGCCAGCAATGGAGACACCGCAAAGGAGACATTTCTTGATGTCTGCTTTGACGCCTTCTTTCAACAAGCAGTAGAGTTCCTAGATGAGGAGACAGCAGCAGCAGCAGCAACAACAACAACAGCAGCAACAGCAGCAGCAACAACAACAAATACAACAACAGCAACAACAACAAAAACGTCAACAGCAGCACCACTAGCAGCACCAACGGCAACAGCAGCAGCAGCAACAGTAACAGTAACAGCAACAGAAGCAGCAACAGCAAAACCAACAGCAACAGCAGCAGCAAAAAGAGCAGCAGCACCAGCACCAGCACCAGCAACAGTAACAGCAACAGCAGCAGCAGCAGGTGTACCCCAGCCAGCTGCAGGACAAGGAGACAGTTTTTGCTTCAATGCAAATCAGCAGGTCTTTGACGGAGACACTGAGGGCTCAGGGAGGCCGCTGCCACCAACTGTACGTGTTGTAAAGAGACAGGTGATGCAGCAGCAGGTGCAGCAGCAGATGCAGAAAGCAGCAGATGCAGGGGTGTCTCTGCTGCCCCTTCTGACTGCTGCTGTGCAGCAGCTGGCGAGAGGGGCAGCAGCAGCAACTGCAGCAACAGCAGCCTCAAGGGACCCTCCAGCAGCACGCAAAACATCTTTTGTTGACTACTGGCTTCAACAGGAGACAGATAAATCTTTCTCTTGCGGTGTAGCAGCAGCAGCAGCACCGGGCTCTTCTTATACCGAGGGACAGGCCCCAGTACCTGCGCAAATGAAGGGGCTTCAGCAAGCACCCGTACAGCAGCGGCAGCAACAGCAGCAACAGCAGCAACAGCAGCAGCAGCAGCAGAGGCAACAACAGGTGCAACGGCAACAGCAAATGCAGCAACAGCAACTGCAGCAGCAAGGTCGGCAGCATGCTGCTGCTAGCAGCAGCATATTTGGGGCCGAGGCGCAGCAAGGGCTTCACCTAGGAGAGTCCTCTTGCATGCAGCAGCTAGCAGAAGTGAATCTGCTGCAGATGGTTTGCGAGCGTCAATATAAATTGTCTGTTGCGAGGGAGCTGCATGCAGTAGCTGCTCTTTCTTCTGCTGCTTCTGTGCAAGGAAGAGGCCCCTCCCGCAGCTGCTGCTCCCCGTTGCAGCAGGAGGTGCAGCAGCAGCTGCAGCAGCAGCAACAGCTGCTGCAGCAAGTGCAGCAAGACCTACTAGGAGAAAGGTTTCAGCAGCTCGTGCTGCTTGAGCACCTTCATATGCTTCTCTTAGTGAGAAGGCTTCTCTATACAAACTTCAAAACGACGGAGACACTTAGGCTGAAGTGTCTCCTCCAGCCCCCAAAGTGCAGCAGCAAACAACAGCAGCACACTGCACACAAAGTGATACGCATGCAGCCCCATAATAAATCCAAAGAGACTGCAGCAGCAGCTGCTGCAGCAGGTGCAGCAACTTCTGCAGCAACGGCTGCAGCAGCGCCAGAAGGTGAAATAAGCAGCAGCAGCAGCCGCAAAGAAGAGCTTCCTGTTGAGGCATCAGAAGACGTTTCATGAGACACTGTGACCTTACTGCAAGCTGCTGATGCTGCTGCTGCTGCTTCTGCTTGTGTTGGTGCTGCTGCCGCTGCAGCTGCTGCTGCTGCAGAGGAGTCTACTCTCATGCTTCCCGGGTACGCATGCAGCTGCTGAAGGGAGGAGACAGATATGAAGTTGTAGATTATGAGCTGTCTCCTTCTAAGAGTGTCTCTTCGGAGACACTTCCTTAAGAAAGATGTCTCCTTGCAGAGATGCATGCACAGTGTTGATGATTACATCTGAAGTGTCTCCTCGCTTATTCTTTTGGGGCTTCTTTTAGTCTCTTATTATTTAGCTGTCTGTCTGTACACTCCTGCATGCAGTGCATGCAAAAGAGACAGACACCGCAGCTTTATTAGTATTTGTTTGGAGACCCATAGCCAATCGTACGGTGTATAAGAGACAAAACAACCCAAGCGATATCAATGCCTGCATGCTGCTGCTGCAACAGCAGCAGCAGAAGCTAAGCCAGCAGCAAATGATGCAGCAGTAGGTGCTGTTTTAGCAGCAGCTGTTGCTGCAACTTCTTTTTTATTTGTTATTTGTTTGTCTGCAACTACCGCAGCAACAAAAAGAAGAGACAGCAACAGCAGCAGCAGGAACTACTGCTTTTGATGGATTAACCTATAAGCAGCAGACAGAAGAAATAAATAATTAATGAAGAAAGATATAACATAAATAAATAGATAGATAAATAAATAGTTATTATGAGGTTGTCTTCGCTGCCTCTCTTTGACTTCAACAACAAAAACAAAAATAACAGCCAAACAAATTACATAACTTTGCACCTGACCGTACTATCAATATATATATAAATATCTATATATATCTATATATATATATATAG